TACTCCAAGGCATAGTTCTCAGCATGAGTGCTCCAAGTAGTTTGAGCCTACCAAAACCAAAAGTTGGKTGTCTATTGTCTTCACTTCCATTCTTCCTCCATCATCCACTCTCCACCATCCTACACCAGTAAAGTGCAGATTCAAGACAGGAATGTTTTCTGTCTCAATGACCCTGGTTTTACCAGCACCTGGAACACTCAGCACTGTTGGCTCTCAGCTAAATGTTAACACTGAACATGGAACAGACATATTAAGTTACTAAGGGTTAATGGAGATATTTTCCAGGCTGAGACAACTAGGGGGATTCTACGGGAATCCTCMTCACTAGGATGCTGTCAAACATTCTACAATGTACAGGACAGGCTCCCCAAAGAAAGAAAGATCCAACCCAAATGCCAGTAGATGCTACAGTTGAGACAGCTTAGGGGAAACTGGGGGAAAAAGACAAAAGCATTGATTCAGACAAGACTTTTTATTTATTGGGGGAGGGTACTGGGGATTGAATTTAGGGATGCTTTACCACTATCTATCCCCAGTACACCCCCGTTTTAAAAAAAAAGGTAGCTTATCTTACATAAAAGTACAAATCCTGGAGCTCTGCTCTGGGTAGGTTGGATCCCATCCATGAAAGGTGTTTGGAACTATCTGTCCACTCGTCTGGATTTGGGTAACAAACTTTTGTCAGGAGCCATGACTGGGTCAGAAGGTACTAAGAAGATCAATGCCAGCCACACCCCCTCAGTCAACGCATTCTGGGAAGAGAGACCTATCTGGGCTGGTGGGATCATGTTTTCTAGGTAAGGTGTGAATTTTCASGAGTTCTATGCCATAGGGAATGGAGGCCCAAGGAGGACCAGAATCCCCAAGATGCATCTGTTGTAAGGCTGGGGCTCCCTTCATAAATGCACCACGGGGCACCAGCCACAGGGGCATCAGAAGGCTGGTGCAGATAATGGTACTGGTCATCTGCATTTCCAGAACTTGGTGGACCAGCATTTGCAGCAGTTATGGGTAAGGGGATCTCCTCCTCCTTCAGGATCCAAGCCTCCTGAGTTCACCTCCCCAGGCTTAAAAAAAATACACACACACACACACACACACACACACACACACACACACAGTTTTAAGACAGTTTCACCAAGCTGCAGATTGGCCTTGAGTTTGTAACCCCCGCCCCCATTCAGCTTCCCCATTGATGGGATTATAGGTGATTAAGTGTTTGAAAGAAGAAAAAGAGTCTGTGGTGGCCCCCCACATGACATCACATCCCGTGTGGCTTTAGGAAGTCTTTTGTGTGAACTTTATCACCAGTGCTGGGGGAAGAATAAATTAGGCTTCAGTACCTGAAGAGCAAAAAGCAATAGAATTCCAAAAAATTAGAACACATTTTCAACAAAYATATACCCACCTATAGTTCTAGCACTCAGAAGGCTGAGGCAGGAGGATCTCAAGTTCAAGGCCAGCCAGGGCAACTTAACAAGGGCCTGTCTCAGAACAAAATAARGAAGGACTGGGGATGTACCTCAGTGCTTTTACAGTGTTTACCTAGCATGCATAAGGCCCAGAGTTCAATCTTTAGGGCTGCCAAAACAATAATAACATTATAATATATTATCACCCAGGATAATAATATGACAATACTTATTATACAATAATCATATATAATTATATATAAATAATGATTATATAATAATCATTATTCTGGGAGAATATTAAGCAGAAGACTTTAATACACATCATAGAAGATTTATAAAAGGCCAAAGAATCTGGCAAATTCATCAGTTTCATTAGTGTTTGAAGAAATGCAATTTGAAACATTTCATCCAATGGGCAGGGATTACAGAATGACAACAGCCACAATTGATTACAGGGTAGGAAAAAATAGCGGTCCAAATAGGTATAAATACTTGGTAGAATTTCAAATCATTGCTTTT